AATGGACCAGGAAGAACTCTGCTGACTGCAGTATGCTGAAGATTATACAGACTAGAACCAAGTACTGTACTTCAGTCAGATGACACAGTATTCATATATACAGTAACGTCCACAGTGAGCAGTGACCCTGGTGTGAGACACAGAGACTGTCTCCTGGTTCTGGGTTCAGCTGATCATCTGGCTCCTCTCAGCTCTGCTGTGTGAAGATGGTGGCAGCTCTGTGGATTAATACACGCCAGCTGCCGCCTCAGCTGCAGGTGGTCGAAACATTATGAGACACACATGCCATAATTGCACCTCCTGTTTTACATTTGGTGCTGGTTTCATTACCTTCAGTCATGAGCTAATTTTCTTTGGTGACGCACTGATTCTGTTGGGACTTAAACAAAAGTTCAACCATAGCAATTGTACCAACTGAAACAACAGGAGGGGTCATCTCTTCTTTTTTTAAGCTTTTGATCTGTCTGTCTATTATAAAAAGTATTGTTTTATATTCATGAAATATCAAATATTGATTAATTTGATTAATTTGTGAATTTTGTTTACATGAAATATCAAATATTGATTAATTTGTGAATTTTGCTTTCTGAAACAAATAAAAACTACATTAAATTGTGACCCAAATCACTTCACTTCCTGTTTCAAAAACATAAACCTGAGGTAATGATGCTTGTTAAACTGTAAAGTGTATCTATTTTTTTTCCCTCTTCCTTAAACTGTGTCATTGTTGTAGAAAAGTTGTCAATTTTTACCCGCAGAGCAACGGCTCAAATCTGCTTCTACATGGTTGCCCCTGCTGGGAGATGTGCGATGTTGATCCCATGGTGCAACAGCACAGTTCCACAGAGCTGTTATTCATATCATTATAAGAGCAGATTAATTTTTTAAATCAGTTAAACTCATGTTGTTTGACATCAGGAGCCTCGCTGTAGTTGATGGAAGACTTGTTGAAACCCTGCTGGTTTGCGGTGCTTTTAATGAGCAGAATAATGTATAAATGTGTCAAGTGAAAAGGAACGCCTGCGGTCGGACGGCCCTCCTGCTCCCCTGAAGAGGTGAGCCGCAGGCCCAGGTTTTTTCCAGCAGGCTTTGATGTGGTTGCACGGCAGAGGAAGAGGCTTTTGTTCTTTTTTTCTTTTCTTTTTTTTTTGGCTGGCAGTGACAGTTGGCAAGTTTTTCACTGGGTGTGGGTTTTTCATGAATATTCACTTTTAATTAGCATGTGTTTGAAGATAGAACCTGTCATTTGTAGATAACCTGAGTGCACGGGCTCAGAGGTTGGATATTCACTCATTCGTCATCACGTTCGCGATTTGTTTCGCAACAAGAACTTGACAAGAACTCAGCGTCATCACGTTCGCGATTTGTTTCGCAGACTTGACAAGAACTCAAAAAGAACTTTCAGTGCATTTCCAGCTGTAAAGGCAGTAAAGTGGGGAAACAAAGAAGCTGGTGTGAGCCGGCCTCATAGAGTCATCATTAAAGACTTAAAAAACAACATCAGTGACTGTATGAGAACATGCATGACAGCAGGACCTGACAGTTGACTGTGCACTCAGGCATCAACTGAAGCTTGAAGAGGGCAGGCACTGCATGATGGGTACGCAGTTTATGTCAGTCTGTTGTTCTTACATGTGGAAAATGAGTGGGTGTGGGTTTTATAACGAGTGGCCCCTTCAGAAAAACTGTGTTCTAAAATGGTATTTTTAAAAAATGGTTCAAAAGCCTCTGATATCCCATTAAAAAGCTACTATTTACATGATCACCCGAAAGAGATGATAGTTGTATAAACCAAAATTATTATTTTGGTTTCTAGTTATTATCTTAAATTAACAAATTTCACCTAATTGTCCTAAAAAAATGACATGCCTCATATATTCCTTTTCAGACCCAAACCTTTACTGAGGTAAAGAAGACGAAGTCAGGAAAATGGAAAGGACCCACAGTGTGAACAAAGGAAGGAATGAGGAGTCACTGGAACTGAGCTGAAACTGAAACTGAAAAGAGAAGGTACGTCTTAAAATGGAAGGTTTGCTTTCCCGATATTTACAAATGTAGCCACAGTCAGTCCAGATGATTTCAGGTCAGATTCAATGTCTAGTGTTTTTTTGGACAGTGGTTGGTTGTTTCATAGTTGGGTTTAATCTACGCTTAGCAAAATGTACAACAGACACTGATGCCTCTCTTTGAGACTGTACAATGACACAGTGTGAAATAATCCTCGGCCTTTATTTCAAGCCTGGAGTTTCCTTTTTGTTCAGCATCCGACTGTGTGTGTAAGGATGTGTGCGTTTGTGGACAGGGACTGATGGGAGGTTAAACTCAGCCTTAAACTCTGCCTCCTTGTCTATTAGCAGCATTGACAGCTTAGCCAGCACATTGTGCCTCTGCCCCGGCCTGTAATAACATGCCCTGTTACAGCCGGCCCCATCCGTGTATCAGACTGCAGTGTTAGGGGATTGGAACTGGGCAACCATGAAATGGAAGTCACGTTCATATTGATCCAAGTGTTTAACGGGGTGTTTTACCTCTGGGTGTCCTTGCTGTCTCATTTCAGGTGAGCGGCTCCTCTCAGAGCTGACTGCCCTGGGCATGGATCAGGCATCAGCCTGGAGCCTTGATATTAACCTTCACGTACTTTTTAATCAAACCTGTTAAGCTGTACAAGAGACACCAGAGCGTTCAGCAGCACTTCACGTACAAAGTGTGGATTCAGACTTTGAGAGGATCCTAAAGGCAGCGCCTCATTCTGCTAGATAACAATCCAATATGAATTTGAGAGGATAGATAAACTCTTATTTACGACAACATTTACACCTAATATGCCTGGTTTTTAATGCCAAACTATTTGATGACCAACTCTGTAGGTGTGGTAATAAATCTGAAAAAAATAAATATATATATAACAATAAGACCATCTTTTAAACGAATATGAAGTGAATAAGAATAAGCTTTATTTTGCTTTAGAAACACTAAAGAAGACAAGACAGCTACTCAAACGCTGAATCCTCAATAAATTCAAAGATAAATAATAATAATATTAATAATTAAACCTTATTTGTCTCACATTTGGGGAAATTCACAGCGTGAGTCTTTCTAACCCGTACAGGCTGCCACCGAAGGCACCATCAGAGATGTGTGGTTCCACTGGGGCTCGAACCCATGACCCTCTGTTTGTAAGGCAGATTCGTAAGGCAGGCGTGCACAATGCAACCACTAAATTGATTGACTATGGCATATAAAACACACCCCAACTTTTTATGCGTACGAAGTGACAAAGTGAAATTTGCCAAAAGCAAAACAAAACCCACGCTTCCCTGTCACCCATCTGACATCCTTAAATGATTAAATCATTTTTATAGCTACATTAGACACAGAGACATTTCCAACAGAGGATATAAAAATGTGACACTGTTTATTGCCCAGAAGCCTCACTTTTAGGGCAGACACAACATGAAAATAAAACCAAATTGGAATTTTCCTAATGTCTAAAGTGCTTCAGCTTCAAAGATTGGCACTAAAAAAGTTAGTCAAGATGACAAGGAAGATGGAGTCTTATTTATTTATTATATTTGATGTTGTCTCCTGCGGGGCCTGAGAGGGTTTTATGAGAGTTTGAATCACAATATTATTATAAAAACAGAGATTTTCAATTCAACCCATTTGTAACACACCATTTCCTAGCTGGAAAAAACCGATCAACAGAACAGTTTCAGTGGCTCGAGGAAGGTTACTGATTCAAATGGATCCCTCTTTTCTCCACCATGGTAGAAGACCGGTGAAGAGTATTTGGAGTATTTCTCGGACATTCAGGTAGTGCACAGTTATACCAGTCCTGCTTTCACTTCATCTGTCCTTCTTATAGTGGGGTCTGTGGTCAGTTAGCCATTGCCAAAGTGGTTGCTCCCAGGCTTGAAATCCGTCGGTATATTAAAGTGTCCTTAACGTCTCACTGATCAAAGAAGCTGGGGAATCACCTGACACAATCTTTAAGGATTCTTCAAGGATTTTGGAAGATTTTTGTCTGATGAAAGTCACAAAAACTAAAGACTAAAGACTAAGACTAAACTAAACTAAACTCATGACATCCTCACAGATATCCACCGTAACAGTAGTACATTATGGGATGCTGTTCTTGTTTCTAATAGGCTGTTGGCAACATGCTTATTTTTTAATACATGTTTGAATGACGTCAGCAACAGAGGTCAGGACAGGAGGTTTCAGAATAGAAGAATAGAATTGTCACTATTCTGAATTGTCAACACTGCACGTGAGAACTAACAGGTAAATAAGTTGTTTATAGAGATAAATGTATATGTATGGATACATGTATTCCATATTTCTAGAGGAAGAAAAACTGGAATCTTCACACATTAGTACTGGCCCGACATATTGCACTGATCATGAATGGTAAACCATGTACACATGTATTGCACATCTCAGCAACACAAGTCTTGTCAGCAGCAGTTTAGCAGTGTTCTCAGTCTGGATTGAGGGGAGGGTGTGTGTGTGCTGCAGGGAGAGGAGATTCCATGTGTGTCTATGACAGTCTATACAGTTGTGAGATGTATATAATATGTGGCTCAGTCCATGAGGTGTGAATGGGTGTGTGTTTGAGTTGTTGGTTTAACAGTCCAGTATTGGGGTTTTATGGAAACGGTGTGATCTGGTTTTCCTTAACACATTTGCAGATTCACGTCTTCATCCCTGGCGTGCCAACAGGTTTTGTGCCCCCTGGTGTTGCTAACTGTGCACAGACTTTAGTCAATGGGAATTGTTGGTAAATTCTAGGAAAAACCTTGTAGTGTGTCTTCAACATTCAGCTGTTCTGCGTCGTTGTGAGGAATACCAGATGTATCCCACAATGCATGGCATGGGACAGGTACGACACAACTGTTTAGTTTGTTTCACTTTTTCCTAAGGTTTTTACAGGAATCATCTTTTCCCTTGGAAATAGGGTTTGATAAAAACATCCTGCACCGTCCTTTCAGTGCAAGGCTTTTATTGATGCCATAGTTTTTATTGTTATTTAATTCCTTGTGAATATTCACTGGTTATCATACAGATGATGGGTTCCTACTTCCTACTGTAGGCACAGATCCAGATGTGGATTATGAGACACTGCTGTAAATGTTTTGACAGAGAAATGACGATGTTGTTTGTGACCTCCGGCAGCACAGGAGACGTGCACTGCACATCTCAGAGCACTGAATAAAGCTTACAGCAAAGAGGAAATGTCTGCACACCATAAACGTCCCGACATCAAAGTTATTATGTTTACTCTTGCACTCTCAAACATGTACTCGGCAGCAGGATGGCTTACATCACAGGAAGCATGGAGCTGTCATTTCTCTCCCCAACTCTCCCCACTACATTTTATCTTTTAGTGCAAAGTAAACAAAGGCAAGGAGACACAGGGCAAATTGCATCACCTGAGCAGTAATGCAACACCAGAGACTGGCCTTCTTCCTCTGTGTGTGTGTGTGTGTGTGGAATGTGTAGCCCATGGAGAGGACGAACAGGAGGCCAGGATTGAAAACAGATACAGACTGGAAAATTAAAGAGACAGGTTAGAAACCATCCACTGTCTGCGGTCGTTGAAACGGCTGCACTAAATTTATATGTTTATTTTCAGATAATGTAGTAAATAAAACCGTCAGGGATTTAAAACAGGAAGCTTCAGTGTAATGTCTCACCAAGAGAGAATTGTTTTTATTCATCATTATTTCCAGGATTTGAGTGATTGAGTGAACTCAATAAAACACATGAGAAATGCTGTCCATTTGACAACTTTAATACGTATTTTATCATTATTTGTAACAATTTTATTACATTGTTTTCTTTTTACACAGTGCAACCTGAATAATTATATTTCTACCATTAATGGTCAAAGATCTAATTCAGTACACTTTAGTAACACTCTTTTCTTAATAATTTTTTCATATACATGGATGTGCTGTGATGCATCACTGTCTGCCCAATAGGTTGACAAACCCACTGTGTGTTTGACAGGACGACTTGTATCAGTCTGCCTCTGATATGAGCTCCAGATCACTCCTTCCTGGTTCCTTATAAAATCCAGCAGTACCTTGTGTTTTATTTATAGTACTCTATATATTGAATTTCTCTGTGTTTTTGTGAAATCAGCTTTTTTTCCTTCCTTCTCCCCGGTCGAGGTTCTGGTATAGGTTGTTTCAACTTAAAGTAAAGCACAATGTTTTAAACTTCTTCTTTATGAAGAGGCGCCTGCTCAGCTGGTTGAGGCAGAGTGTTTTTCAACACATCCGAGACCCGGGAAAAAAACAGAAAACACATGCATGCTGGCTGAACTCAAGCTATAAAAATAAAAGGCCAAATGCCACTAAGCTCTCCTGCGTTGCACCATATGAAACAAAGATTCTTGGCAGCATTGTTGTAGTAGATCCAACTATCTACTGAGGCCTTTTAACTCTTATCTGTTCCATACTGAGGAGACATATTTTTAAAACGTGAGCCTCTATGAAGGGTCATGTGAATAAGGATGTTCTTTGTTCAAGATGAAAATTATTTCTTATTTTCCTTTTGTGTGAAACAAAAAACAACTGCTATCATGATTTGGTAACCATGAGAGTTTGTTTTTACTCCGTTCCACTCTGTTTTTCAGCAGTGTTTATATTGTGTGTCTATATATATATATATATATTAGGGTACACTGAGGCAGGGGGCTGGTGAATTAAGTTCAGAATGTAGTAGAGCTAAGGGTAGGCTCCAGGGGTACATAAAGCAAACAAAAATAGTAAAGCTACAAAGCCAGATGTGAATATCCTCAGTTTTGTTGTCCCCCCGTGGTACAATGACAATAAAGACTATTCTATTCTGCACGGTTAATCAAAATGTGAAAAAACTCTTTTAGGTTTAGGACAGACCAGCTGACAGTCTGGCCTGGGTCCAGGATGAGATGAGGATCTTAGATGGAATCCGTTTCTTCAGCAGCAGTAAGTCTGACTTACCTTTGGGAGCCATAATAAAGG